AGATCAGTGGGTCACAACCCACACTTTTGCAATCCACATCTCTACTTTTGAATGCGTTCTTATGTAGTGACCTCGATAAACAGCTGACCAATCCAGACGGTTAAGCACGACCACGCGCAGTTAGGATTTCGCCATTAATCCGTCCTTTGGGAGATTTATATGACGGTAATAATCAGAACTAACTAAAAACGGGAATGTTTAATGATGGTCTGTTAAAAGGAACAAGAATCAAGCAAGACGGTAGATTATGTTCGGGTACAGAGATGTTTATTCTCAATTAGGAAAGTTTTGCGAGCTACATCGTTGTGAACCTTGCAGCCTGAAACTGGTTATACTTAGAGTATATAGCCCGTCCTCCTAAGGCTCCCCAACGTGAAGACACTGTCGTACTAAAGTATCCTTTCCTACCAGACGACCCAAAACAGAAAAGGGGACAGTACGTCAATTTCACGAGCCGCTTCCATTTTCTAGTACGACAATTTTTGGCCTTAGAGCGACGCATTTTGACGCATACTTTACCTATCAGGAGGACGGGTTGAAGAAATTGTGTGTTAAGCTCTTAGTACAAAAATCTTCATGTTTAAGCATGCTAGGCCAACACTCGTGATAGAAATAATATATACTGTGTACTAGGCTACTACTAGTATTGCAAAGTTAGAACTAGCTAGATAAATACTAGGCTACTACTATTGTTATCAAGTTCATGGAATTGCCAACTATTTATTGTCATCAGATATTGAGTAATTACAAAAAATAATCAACATGCTCTCATTTTTTCCCACTGCACTGAATTTCAAACGGAAAATTATCATTACATATGAAGGCCAATAATATGCTCATCAAATAAAATATCAAATTTTCGTCTTTTTTTCTTTTCCCATTAAACAAATTTAGAAGCCTCTTCTCTTTTGATTATAAGCTATCATTATTCGCCAATTTGTACTTGTATGTTATGAACTACGACTCTTGGGGTCCCATCTCTTGAACCCTTGACAGGTGAATACGTTTCACAGTGTATTGGAATCTGTTATATCTGTAAATAAAGTTCTAATATCTAAATGGAGAGAGTCTCCAGCACTTTTCTTCTCACCGCATTACATATGCTTACAATCCTAATACTTGTTTTTCCATAATGTCTCTATGGTTCAGTACGGCGATGAAATCTTTCCAGCTTGGTGGTTTCTTTTGATAATTACTTAATTGTGTACTAAGAGTCCCCTTGTTTCTACACCACTCATGCTAGATAATCTTGTCTTTCCCTTGAGAATTTTGTATGTGGTGATCATATCTCCTTATTTCTGCTCTCTTCTAGTGACGTGAGGTTTAATTACTTCAGTCTACTTGTAATTCATCCCTCTCAGACCTGAGACTACAATGGTGGCATGCGTCTGAACTTTCTCAAGCTTGGTTTAGTGTTTAACCAGATAAGGACTCCTGGCGCCGTGTGTGTGTGTGTGTGTGTGCATTCACTTAGTTGTGCTTGCGGGGGTTGAGCTTTGACTCTTTAATCCCGCTTCTCGACTGTCAATCAACTGGTGCCATGTGTGAGTGTGAGTGTGTGCGAGTGTGAGTGTGTGCGAGTGTGAGTGTGCGAGTGTGAGCGTGTGTGAGTGTGTGTGTGAGTGTGTGCGAGTGTGAGTGTGTGCGTGTGTGAGTGTGTTTGATCAGATTTCTTTACTATTACCGAAACTAGCCAAGGCAATATAATGCACTTCTGCATGATTATTAAAGACAAACTATTGACATTTTAGCGATAAATTTGTATATTTTTAGATACTTTGCGTAATTGAACAAATATAGATTAATTAAAAGAGTTGTATCTGAGGCCCGCTTATGAACAAACATTTATAATGGAATTAAGAATCCGACAGTCGAGTATTGGAGTGCTGAATAAGTTCAAATTCAGTTGAGAAACATTGGAAGTGAGCTGGAGCTCATCACATAACCTTGTACTGAAGTTATATATAGTGTTTATTACCTGATATAGTGTTATATATAGTGTTATATATAGTGTTTATTACCTGATATAGTGTTATATATAGTGTTTATAACCTGATATAGTGTTTATAATCTTAATGCGTTTTGGAGCCCAAGAGCGCGAAGTTTAAGTTATGTATTTTGTATGTTGTGGCATATCAAGGAAGGAACATACTGGAAGACGAACCCTGGAAACACAAACCGAAACTGTCTCTATTTTCCGCATGTTACAACTTGAAATAAAGTTGTTATATCTTGGCTTAACGTGTTTATGGCGTATTAGAACGTTGTTACAACTTGCTATATTGGTTGTTATAACAGGTTAGGTGTGAAAACTTGTTCGAACGTTGTACCAACGTCGTAGTTTCGGTGTGTGTTTGGTGGGAATGAACTTACGGTGTGAAAAGCGACGTTCAGAAGACTAGAAGGAGAGTAGGGAAGGGAGTGTTGGAATCTATTAAATAAATACTTGAAAGAGGAGAAGGGAGATTCATTTGAGGAGTGGAGCGAGATCCAAGAGGCAAGTGTTAATCTGAGAATGTAGGATGACATGGATTAATAAATTCCATGACAGCGGAGTGATGAAGGTCACAGATTTAGCTAAGACTCGTGGGGAGGTTGTGAAGTCCCGGGTGGAGGGCCGTGGCGTAGTCAAGTGGACGGATAGACAGATTGCAACTATGGACAGAGTTGATGATGAGAAGTGAGGCAGGCGAGGGGGGGAGGGAAGAAGTAAGGACAGCGAGAAATTTCAGAGGAATCCATGTTTATCATAAAAAAAATGTCCACTGTGCCAGTTAGTAGTCTATTCACTTTATAATCTTTATAGGATTAAGGAAATTTATAATGTTATATGCTTACATCGTCTGGTTAAATCAACATTCTTTCGCGCTGCCGCTTTCAAATTATAAAAGCAGAATCAACGCAATTTAATCTTGGATCACAGCCTAGCTGTAATCTGCCTGACTGTATATGTTGGCTGCTGCACTGCAGTTAATAGTTTCATATAACGTCATTGTTTTATTTTGAACAACAAAGGCTCTTATCCAGCGGACAAAGGGAGCATTGTATTCCATCCATGGAGAGGCTGATGTTAGTGGCAGCAACAGAGGGATGGCAATAAAAAACAAAATACCAGAATAAGTAAAGTGTCGTAGCGTAAGTATATACGGCGGCCTGAAGAATTAGGCTAATAGTTGCCTCCGCCTTTTGTTTAAACACTGTAATAAGCAGAGTAGAAATTCCTTCCTTACAAAAACTTGTATAATTATTGTATATTTCCCAGTTATGTACACTGGAAAAAAAATTTAATAACAGGTCCTGTTATTCCTATTTATTTTTCTCAGACATTTTAGATACTCGTGTCGCCAGGACCTCAAATATATGCTATGATCGATGTACCAGTGATATAAAGTTTGCGACTAAGACAAATGTGGAGTAGCCTTGAGAGTGTGGTGTTCGCTATGCGGCTCCTCAGTCTGGCGTAACCCCGCCAACAGCTTCTCACTGTCTCTGAAGATGGAGTTAATTTCTTCTCGCATTGGCCCGCCTGAGTATGTTACTTGAGGCGAGTGCTCCCTGAGCTCGTCAGAGGCCCTCAGTGGTATGCACTTAGAGACATCTCATTGCTCATCATTACACAATTTTATGATTATTATTATTATTCATTTACATGTCTGTGGCAGCAAGAGTCAACTTTATCATTAGTCGTTGAGAACAGACGAGTAAATGTCTCGTAATTGGCGATCCCCTTATATGTGTTGGCCTTGTGTTTATCACAGTATATTTACACTTAAATTTATAAGGCTAATTTGCATATAAACGCAGAATATGTCCGTGGATGTTACCGACACTTAGTGTTCTAGCCAAGCTAAGCCACAAGCCCTTTGTTTATGCCAACTTTCATTCCGTCCCCAAGCGAAGCATCTTTACAAATTGAATTATTCATCTGTGAGGTGTAGTGTAAATGATTGAAATTTCACTTGGTCTTCGCGAGAAATTTGAGGCATCGCACTTTTTGTGTTTGTTACTAGGGGAAAGAAATATGACGCGGTTATCTAAACTGCTGGTTAAGAGAGATGACAAGATGTACTTGGGAGGACGGACATTAGCCAGTGGCCGTCTGTCTCACAACGTCAAGACCAAAAACCATTTTTTCCCCCCATTTTTGTATATTTATCTGTCGGCATCCATAGTTGCTGCCAGCTAACTGCCTTATTATCAAGAACAATTCCACGCTGAAGGAACGCTTCCTGCGCTCCAGACATAGAAGCAGCTCTGATGACATGAGCTAAAAAGGAAGATATTTTAACGCAAAAATGAGAATTAATGTAGTAAAGAGGAGCACGAGCCAGGGCGGTTGGGAGGGGTGTCGGGTGGCGGCGCTCAGGGTGGTCGCGTTAAAGAAAGTGGGATTTACACTGGCGGGAAACTTGCAGCTTTTGAATCTCCTCTTCAAGTAGAAGATTAATATTTTCTTTCCTGCGTGCTTGTCGCTTCACAGTTCACCATTGAGGGATTGTATCGATGCAAAACGTGTATATCTACCACTGCATAACGTAACATTTGGCTCTGTAAAGGCGCGCTAGTATTGCATAAACAAGTCAATATTTTGCCAGACGGAAGATGTTGTATGCGGTACTTCACAGACGGCGCCACCGAGAGTTATCTCTCCGGCCATCTTGCTAACCTTTTGTGTATGACAGGTAGAGTAACTTAAGATAATGTAGCGTGAATGACCTGACTTCGTAGTAGTAACCGCCGGCACTCAAGAACGTGACATACAATAATGTATTCGTCGCGTCATCTGGCAACAACCTCCCACCCAGAGCTGCCACCAATGAATTATAATTCATTTATTCTATAAAGTTAAGCGATAGAAGTTTATTAAAGTATGATAGACGGCTCGATGATAGGAAGGAGTGAGTATTGGAGATGGTGTGGAGATGTGTCAGTGTTGTGAGGCGCGGGATAAATAGGGTTTAGACGGGGTGTTGGCGGCAGGTGTGGCGCGGCGAGTGGGTGACGGGTGAGGGAGACGCGACAGTCGAGCACCACACCTGAGACGGTACACAACTCCTCACCTGAGACGGTACACCAGTCTTGAGACGGTACACAGCTCCTTGCCGGTGCGTCTCCGTCATCGTGCGTCAGTGGCAGTGTCGTGTGTGTGTGTGTGGGCCGCCATGAGGCCGCAGTGAAGAGCCGAGTGTCATTCAGATGTTCTAAGTCAGGGGCGCCAGGGGAAGTGTCGAGGGCGCCGCCCGTGTGTAAGTGTTTGTGGGTTGTGGGCGTGGGCGTGGGCGGCCCCATGCGGTGCGAGCCGCCCTGGTGGAGCTGCGGCGGCTACTGCCTCTCCCTCCACCACCATCACGGAGACAGGCGCGGCCCTCCGGCCCCTCTGGAGTGACTCTCCCAGCAGCAGCAGTGGGCGTGGGCGTGGTGAGGGCGGGTGGTGTGCGTGGGCGTGCGGGCTGGGCGGGGCGGCCTCGCCCTCCAAGCTATGCCCTGGCGGCGCCACGCCCTGCTTCATGTTCATGTTCCGCCCCAGGAAAGCCGCCCTGGTGAAGCGGGCGTGGAAGGCGCGCCGGGTGGGCCTGGCCCACGCCCCAACCCTCCTTCAGGAGCAGCAAGAAGCAGCCAAGGAGCTCAAGGGCGCCGCCCAGCAGCTCCTCCGCCGCCTGACGGAGGCGCAGCTGGAGTTACTTGTCTCAGCGCTGGAGTCTCAAGGCGGTGACCCCGGACAGTGCGTCTTGGTGCCCAGGAACTCGTCTGAGGAAGACGTGGGCGGCCGCTCCTTCCCTCCTCACCTCCTGATGGTGTGGGCGTGGAGGTGGCCGGACCTGCACGCCCACGCCCTCAGCACGCCCCTCAAGCGCCTGCCCACGTGCGCCGCACGTAATGACCCCGTGTACGTGTGCGCCAACCCGTACCACTGGGCCAGACTCCTTCAGACAGGTGAGATGCTGCTTCTTAATTACGTGTAACTTAAGGTGATGCTGGGCGGCGTCTTGAGGAGGGGGGGTGCACGGCCCCAGACACCCCCCCCCCAACTCCTGTCGCCACGTGCACTGTCCCCCTACTCCTGTCGCCATGTGCACTGTCCCGCCCCCCCTACTGTCGCCACGTGCACTGTCCCCTCTTACTCCTGTTCCCCCTACTCCTGTCGCCACGTGCACCGGCCCCCTTAATCCTGTCGCCACGTGCACCGGCCCCCTAGTGTTGCCACGTGCACTGTCCCCCCTACTCCTGTTGCCACGTGCACTGTCCCCCCTACTGTCGCCACGTGCACTGTCCCCCTAGTGTTGCCACGTGCACGGTCCCCCCTACTCCTGTTGCCACGTGCACTGCCCACCCTACTCCTGTTGCCACGTGCACTGCCCCCCCTACTCCTGTTGTCACGTGCACTGCCCCCCTACTCCTGTCGCCACGTGCACCGGCCCCATTAATCCTGTCGCCACGTGCACCGGCCCCCCTACTCCTGTTGCCACGTGCACTGTCCCCCCTACTCCTGTCGCCACGTGCACCGGCCCCATTAATCCTGTCGCCACGTGCACCGGCCCCCCTACTCCTGTTGCCACGTGCACTGTCCCCCCTACTCCTGTCGCCACGTGCACTGTCCCCCTACTCCTGTCGCCACGTGCACTGTCCCCCTACTCCTGTCGCCACGTGCACTGCCCCCCTACTCCTGTCGCCACGTGCACTGCCCCCCCTACTCCTGTCGCCACGTGCACTGCCCCCCTACTCCTGTTGCCACGTGCACTGTCCCCCCTACTCCTGTCGCCACGTGCACTGTCCCCCTACTCCTGTCGCCACGTGCACTGTCCCCCTACTCCTGTCGCCACGTGCACTGTCCCCCTACTCCTGTCGCCACGTGCACTGTCCCCCTACTCCTGTCGCCACGTGCACTGTCCCCCTACTGTCGCCACGTGCACTGTCCCCCCTACTCCTGTCGCCACGTGCACTGTCCCCCTACTCCTGTCGCCATGTGCACTGTCCCCCTACTCCTGTCGCCACGTGCACTGTCCCCCCTACTCCTGTCGCCACGTGCACTGTCCCCCTACTCCTGTCGCCACGTGCACTGTCCCCCTACTCCTGTCGCAACGTGCACTGTCCCCCTACTCCTGTCGCCACGTGCACTGTCCCCCTACTCCTGTCGCCACGTGCACTGTCCCCCTACTCCTGTCGCCACGTGCACTGCCCCCCCTACTCCTGTCGCCACGTGCACTGTCCCCCTACTTCTGTCGCCACGTGCACTGTCCCCCTACTCCTGTCGCCACGTGCACTGTCCCCCCGACACCTGTCGCCACGTGCACTGTAACCCCTACTCCTGTCGCCACGTGCACTGTCCCCCTACTCCTGTCGCCACGTGCACTGTCCCCCTACTCCTGTCGCCACGTGCACTGTCCCCCCCAACTCCTGTTGCCACGTGCACTGTCCCCCAACTCCTGTTGCCACGTGCACTGTCCCCCTACTCCTGTCGCCACGTGCCCTGCCCCCCCCCTACTGTCGCCACGTGCCCTGCCCCCCCCTACTGTCGCCACGTGCACTGTCCCCCCTACTGTCGCCACGTGCACTGTCCCCCTACTCCTGTTGCCACGTGCACAGTCCCCCCTACTCCTGTCGCCACGTGCACTGTCCCCCCTACTGTTGCCACGTGCACTGTCTCCCTACTCCTGTCGCCACGTGCACTGTCCCCCCAACTGTTGCCACGTGCACTGTCCCCCTACTCCTGTTGCCACGTGCACTGTCCCCCCCTACTCCTGTCGCCACGTGCACTGTCCCCCCTACTGTTGCCACGTGCACTGTCCCCCCTACTGTTGCCACGTGCACTGTCTCCCTACTCCTGTCGCCACGTGCACTGTCCCCCCTACTGTCGCCACGTGCACTGTCCCCCTACTCCTGTCGCCACGTGCACTGTCCCCCCTACTGTTGCCACGTGCACTGTCTCCCTACTCCTGTCGCCACGTGCACTGTCCCCCTACTGTTGCCACGTGCACTGTCCTCCCCTACACCTGTTGCCACGTGCACTGTCCTCCCCTACACCTGTTGCCACGTGCACTGTCCCCCCTACTCCTGTTGCCACGTGCACTGTCCCCCCTACTGTTGCCACGTGCACTGTCCCCCCTACTCCTGTCGCCACGTGCACTGACCCCCCTACTCCTGTCGCCACGTGCACTGTCCCCCCTACTGTTGCCACGTACACTGTCCCCCCTACTCCTGTCGCCACGTGCACTGACCCCCCTACTCCTGTCGCCACGTGCACTGTCCCCCCTACTGTTGCCACGTGCACTGTCCCCCCTGCTCTTGTCGCCACGTGCACTGTCCCCCCACACACCTGTCGCCACGTGCACTGTCCCCCCACACACCTGTCGCCACGTGCACTGTCCCCCCACACACCTGTCGCCACGTGCACTGTCCCCCCACACACCTGTCGCCACGTGCACTGCCCCCCCACACCTGTCGCCGCGTGCACTGCCCCCCCACACCTGTCGCCGCGTGCACTGCCCTCTCTCCTCCTGTCGTAACGTGCACTGTCCCCCTACTGTCGCCACGTGCACTGCCCCCACACCTGTCGCCATGTGCAATGCCCCATATCCCCCCTACACCTGTCACCACGTACTCTGCCCCATAACCCCCCCTACACCTGTCGCCACGTGCACTGCCCCACAACACCCCCCCCTACACCTGTTACCACGTGCACTGCCCCATAACCCCCCCCCCTACACCTGTCACCACGTGCACTGCCCCATAACCCCCCCTACACCTGTTGACACGTGCTCTGCCCCACAACCTCCCCCTCTACACCTGTCACCACGTGCACTGCCCCATAACCCCCCTACATCTGTCACCACGTGCACTGCCCCATAACCCCCCCCTACACCTGTGACCACGTGCACTGCCCCATAACCCCCCCCTACACCTGTCACCACGTGCACTGCCCCATAACCCCCCCTACACCTGTTGACACGTGCTCTGCCCCACAACCTCCCCCTCTACACCTGTCACCACGTGCTCTGCCCCATAACCTCCCCCCCCCTCTACACCTGTCACCACGTGCACTGCCCCATAACACCCCCCCCCTACACCTGTCGCCACGTGCACTGCCCCATAACCCCCCCTTTACACCTGTCACCACGTGCACTGCCCCATAACACCCCCCCCTACACCTGTCGCCACGTGCACTGCCCCATAACCCCCCCTTTACACCTGTCGCCACGTGCACTGCCCCATAACCCCCCCTTTACACCTGTCGACACGTGCCCTCTGACCATCCTCACCAGTTAAGATTGTTAGGTAAGTTCTTTAATCACCGGATATGGTCGTGATGTACAATACTTTTTGATTTAGTCACAAAACATTGACCCATTGTAAATATTGATCTTGTATTTGACGTAATGCAGCTAACAGGAAGCCACGTCCTCTGGGGCCAGATTCACGAAGCAGTTACGCATGCACTTACGGCCCCTGGGGCTAGATTTACGAAGCAGTTACGCATGCACTTACGGCCCCTGGGGCTAGATTTACGAAGCAGTTACGCATGCACTTACGGCCCCTGGGGCTAGATTCACGAAGCAGTTACGCAAGTACTTACGAACGTGTACATCTTTCCTCAATCTTTGACGGCTTTGGTTACATTTATTAAATAGTTTACAAGCATGAAAACTTGCCAATCAACTGTTGTTGTTGTTATAAACAGCCTCCTGGTGCTTCAGAGCTCATTAACTGTTAAATAATTGTAAACAAAGCTGCCAAAGATTGAGAAAAGATGTACAGGTTCGTAAGTGCTTGCGTAACTGCTTCGTGAATCTGTGCCCCAGGTTCGTAAGTGCTTGCGTAACTGCTTCGTGAATCTGGCCCTTGAGCCCTTGATGTTGATAAGAGTTCTCTCTCAGCGTACCTATTGCACCTGTGCTTTTTCTCGTGTCACTATCCAGATCAAGTGGTTGGATTTGGATGTGAAAGTCAACAGATCAACCACAGCTAATGCTCTAATAACGCAACATTTGCCTTCGTTAGTTTCATAGCAACATTGAGGAACTAAGTGACAAAGAAAGGTATTATACCCCTTCGTCACAACATGTAGTGTACTCATCTAATTGTACTTGCAAGGGTTGAGCTCTGGCTCTTTGGTCCCGCCTCTCAATCGTCTATCAACAGGTGTACAGTTTCATGAGCCTATTGGGTTCTGTGTGTTGCTTCCGGCATCCACATGCTTCGTATAGTTCCATGTCTAATAAGATAACGGGAGAAAGAGAGAGAGAGAGAGAGAGAGAGAGAGAGAGAGAGAGAGAGAGAGAGAGAGAGAGAGAGAGAAAGAGAGAGAAAGAGAAAGAGAAGAGAGAGAGAGAGAGAGAGAGAGAGAGAGAGAGAGAGAAAGAAAGAAAGAAAGAAAGAAAGAAACAAACAAACAAACAACTGGCTCACTCGAAGGTAATCTCAGTCGGCGCCAGAGGTGGGGGGGGGGTGATATAGCAATATTGGTAGTGTGGCTTCCGTGTGTATGCTATCGTTTGTGCGTCTGCGCACATCTCTGCGTTCCGTGTTGCAAGCTTCTCTGCGTTCGCGTTTCTGCGCACATGTTCTCGCCTAATATTTTTGAAAATACTGTCTGTTTTCCCGTGTGTGTGTGTGTGTGTGTGTGTGTGTGTGCATGCCTGAGGGTCGGTATTAATACTTTAATTAAACATTCTTTTGAGAGCTTGTGAATGTTGCTGAGTGACTGTAATTATGAACTGAAATAAGTGCCTGAATCCATTCAGTTGTTAGGGTTGATATTACCTTAAGTAATCTGGTTGAAATTGGTTTAATCGTTAGATAATACGTGTACTATAATTATCAGTAGAGATAGGCTAACATTAGCAGATAAGGATAGCCTATGGGAGTTAATGTAGCTCAAATTCTCATGATTTTCCTACAGAAAATTTGTTCACTTTGCACACCGTTTTAATAATAAA